TTTTTTTTTTGCGGACTGTACATTATTTTATTTATTATATTATTTTCACACAGAATTTCGATTTCTTTGTGATCTCTTGGAATATTTAATCTTTAAAGATGTTATAAATATGAAAGAAAATAAAACATTCATGAAATCACGATCTTAAAAAATTAATAAGTAAATACTGCTTCTTATGTGTTATTAAATCCGATTTTTGTTATCATTTTGAAATTTCTCCTCACCTCCAAATAGTCGTCAATTTGTCCCTTATGTACTTATATTTTAATTACTTTTAATTCTCATGATATCTTATTTGATTTGATTCCAGATATTGTTTGATTGTTAACACTAGAGCCACAATGGGTTGTTGACAACGATCGAAGAATCATGCTCAACACTGATCTGAGAAAAATCCTTGCGCATTCCTCTATTGCAATTTAGATATTAAAACAGCAAATGTTGGTACACCCAACCGATCTTACAATCAATTTATTCAAAAAAGACGAAATTAAAAAGCAATTTTCGGTCGAAAATTTTGTCAAAATCAAGTGACCTGATTTAATATTTCATTGAAGAGAAAAATTACCGAAAAATAAAAATTCAGCCTTTTTTTTTCTCTGTACATTTCTGCTTTTTTTTTTTCTTTCAAGAATCATTCACAGTAATTGCTTTGCGGTGCTAATCTATAAACTATAATTTATTATCTTCAAAAACTAAACATTAACAAACAATTTTAGAAAGACCAATGAGATACCATATAAGATTGAGCAAAAGCTCAGTTTTTGCGTAACGGTTTCTGCTCAGTTGCGTAACGTAGTAGTACATCAAAAGGAATATGCAATTTCAAACTTTAAAAAAAAAAAAAAAATCTTTTCCGACAATTGCAATATAGGACACAAAGTCAAAGTTTGCATTAAATAAAGTTTAAAAAAATTAGACACGTAAAAATATACTAGATTACGAAGAAATGTAGATGACGCAGCTAAATGACTTAGTCGATATCAATGAAGTGAACCGGACACGATTAAAAACAAGCTATTGACTTATTATACTTATAAGGAATAATACTAGAAAAAAATGATAAAGATTACAAGTATAATAAAAGCCTTAGACAAATATAGTATATAGGCGGCCTATCAAATTATGTCTACGCAACTAGTTAGTCTAATGAATCTAGATGACTGCTGCCAGCAAAGAATAAAGAAATTTATTTCATACTTATTTTGTAATTTTTCATTCTAAAAAATTATTAAATTATGTGCAAAAATATAAATTTCAAAATGCAACTATATATTTTAGGTTAAGGTAAATTATAAATATATACAGGGTGATTCTAAAAAGAAGGGCAAAATTTTAGGAAGTGATAGTACACACCCAAGCAAAAATTTTTTTATCAAAGAATGCATGGTCGAAAACAAAACGCAAAACCGCTAGAGGGCGTCAAAATTTATGTTCTTATATAAGGCAAAAACACATTAAGAACGATGAAGTTAAGTTATAAAAGTAAATTTAATGGCATGTGATTACAATAAGTGTTCAAAACAGTGGCCGGCAGCGGCTATGCACGCAGTACAACGGCGAAGAAAAGATAGGCGAACATTCTGAAACACACCAGACATATCACGAACTTTCCCTGCAGCGGCCGAAAGTTTGGCGACAAGTAACGCAGCGCAGTAACTCGCTACAGAAATGGAGCTTTCACGCTTGCATAAAACAACTTTCCAAATGCTCCAGCACCTTTGCGTTTTGTTTTCGACCATGCATTCTTTGATAAAAATTATTTGCTTTATCACTTCCTAAAATTTTGTCCATCTTTTCAGAATCACCCTGTATATTATAAATATACGCGTATAACTTATTGGTAAATACTATTTATTAATATGTGTAGAAAATCATTAAGAAGTGTTAGAAATTCTAAACTTTGTGTGAATAGTGTAAGAAAATTTTTGATACACTTTTAAGAAAATAAATTTTAACTGAATTTTTTAATTTTTTTTAGTTTTTAGCTGTTTAGCTTTAATTAACAACTTCTGTAACTCTTTCTATTTTTAAAACTAATTTTTTTACGATGATTAACAATAATTAATGATAACTAAATACCTGCAACTGACGTCATCGTAGGTAATGGTGGCATTTGTCGAATCAGAAGCGGATCAGGATCGACACACACGCGTGACGTTACTTACAGATATTCAATTAAATCTGATTTAAATTACATAGTTAGGCATAATAAATTGAATTTTTCACGAGTTCCAATTAACGATTATTATATTTTGTGTGCATATTGCAAACAGAATACTTAATACATCTGAATTTATTTTTTAATGGTACAAAATGAGATGCTAAATGCATTTTTAAATTAAATAACTTCAGTTCTGATTTTAGTATAATCTAGTAAAGTTTCTCTTCAATAAATACAACTGAATTAATTTGTACAGTCACGGTTTCTTAAAAGCATGAAACTCAAATCTTGTTCGCGGATCGAAAAATTTAGGGAAAATCGAAATAACGCTAGATAATTTCATCAAGGCGGAAATTTTCTACATGATAAAAAACTGAGAATAATCTTATTAAATCCTTTCTTATCGCTTGCAGAAACATTCGTATACCAAGCACACGATCTTTCGAATAACAAAGAGTTTTTAGAACTCTGTTTCAGTTATGCCAGGTGATGAGACAAAACGTGATTTTGAAGAGGAAAATTGGAAAAGGAAATAAAAAAAGAAATAAATCACTTAACTGAAAGACGTGAACTTCAAACTTTATTTTCGATTATTATTATTTTTTTCTTTACATTTGAATTCCATTTCCCTACCAGTAACATGCTTGACAAACATTTGGTTCGAACAACTGCTGTTGCAGTTACTGTTTTTTGTGCTTTAGAATTGTTTTCACGGACAGTTGAAAATTGGACAGTATTTTACTCAACGGTCGGTAAAATAGTAATCTGTGCATTTATTAGTGGATTTTTATTGGACTTAATTGGATACAAGATTCTGAAAACTACGATAGATACCAAAAATAAAGCCGTTTTTATAACAGGTAAATTTGTAATATTTATATTTTTGGCATAGCTTGTGGCATATAGGGAGAGTTGCAATTTTCATAAATTTGCCAAAGAATTTACTAATTATAATTTTACACATGATTAATAATTATAAACATTATTTTTAATTAAAATTTGAACGTTTATTATCGTTTTGAATGACATATAAGCAAATTGGAATTCTAAATCTTTTAAAGAATTAATTAAAAAAAAAGGTTTTGGTGAAAAAGACCACGATTTCCATGTCGGTAATAAGATATTTTGTTGTAATTAAGTGAAAATTTTATTTTGTGTATCGTGCTGTAATCTAGTGGAAATTTTATTGAGTGTATTGAGATGTAATCTAATAAAAATTAAAAAGTACCTATTTGGACTTAAGTATTATGAATTTCCATAATATATATAGCAAAATATTATGGAAATAAATACAAAAAGGACAAAAAGAAAAAAAAATGAAGAGAATTAAGAAAAAAAAAGTTTTATTTACTGCGCATAAGCTGCAAGTAAATAGAACTCATAAAATAAGTTCAAAATCTAGAGAAAGCATGTAAAAATTACAGAACAATGAAAAAAGGGAAAAAGAAAAATAATAATAATAAAAATTCGGAAAAAAAATCAGAAAAAAGGGAAAAAAATTAATAACACTCTGGGGACAGTCAAGCGAGCAGGACTACAAGCACAGGACTCTAAAAAAGCAAATTAATTTTATTTACTCAGGAATTATGGAAATCTTAATAATTATAATCGGTCTATTAAATAGGTCGAGGGAAAAATATTTATCTCATAAGTTAGAAAAAGGAAAATTGTTAATCAATGCATACTTGAACTAAACATAGATTAAAATAGATGTAAATTTTAAAGTGTGAGAAATAGCGTTTTGTTAAGAATAATAAATTAAGAAAAATATTTACAGAAAAAGAATAACATAAAAAGATTAGTTGAAGCTTTTTATAATACAACCCCCCTCTCCGAAAAATTATAATTACCATCTAAAATTTAAAAAAAAAAAATTATTATCTATTCACAATAATTTCCCTATGATAGAAGTACAATTAAGATGAAAAGAATATAATTTGCAATATTATCAGCATATAAGATGGCAGCAAACTTTTAAAAAAAATTTTGCTCATTGAATATCTTTTTGTTTCATTGTACAAGATTTTTAAATAGGAGTCAGCACTTGATTTATTTATAATATTGTCTTCTGATTTGGCAATTTATATTTTATTTTGATTTGGTTATTCTAAGTATAACTGTTTGGTTATTTTTATTTATTAGTGGGCGTTTCATTTTTAAGTCTTAATATGTGTACTTTTAAGTAGTGTTTGCTGGTTAATTTTTTTTTCTGTGCTTTTTAATTCTTGTAATGATTTTCTCTTATTTGTTTATTCATTATGGGGCCTCGGGGGCACTGTCAATTATGGTTTTTCCACTGACAACAGAAAGGCTCCTGTGTGTTGGTAGGCAGTGTGTCCCCTGAAAAAGTGCTATCTTGACAATACATATATCTTTTATTTATTTTTTGCTTTTTATTACTTTCTCCTACTTTGTTTGTTTGAATATCTAAATTAAAATAAAGCTAATTTGGTTTTAGCTACTTTTCCATTTTGATTTAATGTTTTAATTATTAATTTACCGTTTTGTCTTTTTCTGTATTTGTAAATTAGATTCATTTTCTGATTAAACCAATATATAAAAGTAATATGAATTATAAAAAAACGCATATTTGTACTTACGGTAAAAACTTCAACACAATTAAAATGTTCTAGAAGAAAAAGTAGTAATGCTACCAGCAAATTTAAGAATTTGATTATTTCTTATAATTACACAATTAAAGAAAATTTTTCAATCAAGGTGAGAAAAATTTATAAAAATGTGTAAGATAAAATTTAAAACATGAAATTTAAAAAACAGATTAAATTTTTTGTTGTAGGAAACATTTTAATCTGAAATTTGAATTCAGTATTGTTTACTTTATTTGAGGGGGAAAATGATACATTGGATGTTACTCTAAAGTTTATAAAAACTTCAGTATTTTTAGGGGCATTTTTGTTGGACTAGGGGTTGTATTTCCCAAAAGGAGGAAAACAGTCCCAAATCTCAGCAATGTTGTGTTGAAAGATCCTGGTTTCAAATATGAATTAAGCTTTATAATTTTTTTTTAATCTATTTGTGGTTTGACCACAAACAGAGAAAAAAACTACCATCGCCCCATATATCTTTTTTCGATATGGGTTAACGTTGAATTTGAAGGGCCGGATCTTTCAGAAAAAGGAGACATGTTCGTCTTAGCCATGTTTAGTTAGGTCATATTCGGTATATATTGTTTTTTTTTTAAACCAAAACTTATTAATGGCAATCAGCAATAAGACGTACTTTTTCTTTTTAGACCAAGGGTGGATGCAAAATATCGAAGCTCTTCCATAGTATTTATAGCCTTACGAACGTATTGATATAACACGTTGCATACACAGATGAAAAGTCGACGATCGTTAAGTGAGGTTCCATTGTAACATTTAGATCAAGGAAAAGTTCGGTAATTGGAGAAATTACTATTTGTTGAAGATGCCGGATGAATTACCACGAGTTAAAAATGTTGATTGATGTATTTACCATAAGTTGAAGAATTCCTATTTCCCATTTAAATCAGATATTCTATATCTTGGATGTACACTCTTCCGATGTTGATTGATATATTTTCAGTTGTCCATATATTCATGTCAGATATTTTATATTTTCGATTCACCCCCTTCCCTACCGTTTTATCCTGCCGGCTTTTAAGGATAGCAGTCCTGAGGCCAGGACAAACAGGCACAGGATTTTAAAAACAAGCAAACTAATTTTATTCACTCATCATAATTAGAGAATGAATATCCAAGTGACGCAATAAATGTTAAGGAAAATCTTGCAACATAATTCTTTAAAATATATCGTTTTAGAGAATAAGAAAAATCTTAATGATTTAAATTGGTCTATTAAATAGGTCGAGGGAAAAATGTGTTTATCACAAGTTAGGAAAAAAAGTTAAAATGTTAATTAATGCATACTTGAAATAAAAATAGATTAAAAGACAGGATGTGAACATTAAAGTGTGAGAAAGAGCGTTTTGAAATAATAAATAAAGAAAAAGGATAACATAAAGATTTGTTGAAGCTTTTTATGTTATATATATAAAATAAGAACTGTAAAGACTCTGTTCAAAGGCATTTTACGTATTACATATTTTAACGCATTAAAATTAGTCTTAAACCGCTAAAATTGTTTTTGTCATAAAAATAATAGTAGTCGATTTAAAGTTTTAGTTATCGATCCTCAGTCGTCAATAAGGCGAATCCTTTGGCAGAGCGCCCCTCTTTCTACAGTCCACTGACGCTCTAGCGCACAAAGACGTATATTTGTCTTAATAAACATACCCATTTTTATTAAATGTACTAGGATTTCATACCTTCAAAATTGCTATTTGAGAAACTTGTCCATGAAGGAAAAATGTTCGAATTCTTTTAATGTTAGTTTTGATCTGTTTGTCTTTTTAAACTATACATTTGTTAATCAATAAGACCCTATTACAGGATGTGACAGTGGAATAGGATACAGTCTAGCAAAGCGACTTGATTTGCGAGGTTATGATGTCTTTGCGGGATGCTTATCGCCTTCAAAAGGAGGTGGACTGGAATTAACAGAAACATGCTCACATCGTTTACGAACAATTCAGGTAGATATAACAAAAAACGAGAGTATACTGGAAGCCAAAGACTTCATTCGAAATAATCTTGGAGAATCAGGTAAGTGGTGTGAAACAAAAGAGAAAAAAAAAATTAAAACTAACGGTTATTCTGTAATTATTATTTTTTACAAAATTAAAATAATTCTGGCACTAAATATACCAAGCGTCCCAAAAATGATGAAAGATTTTGAAAATCAATTAATTTAGAAGGAGATGAATAAAATCTCGATGCGTTCAACTTTGGAAACTAATTGAATTCTTCTTATGAAGTTTCGAAATTAGTTACATAATTGCCAACAGATGGCTATGAAAAAGAGTAAAGTAACGTTTTCAAAATAATGAAAATATACCCCAAAGAAGTAGAACAATTCTGAGGACAACAATAACAGACCCCGAAGGAAATGTTTCAGTAAAAATTATCAAACAGTAATCATTGTTTTATAGTTTTTTTCTTTCTTTCAAGAAGCTATGCCACCTGACGACGAATTTTATAGCTAATTTTAAACCTTAGAGAGATAAATTTTACGGCTTCTTCAGCTGAACGCAAGAACCTGTTGGTTTCTATCTCTTTCCGTTTTTCTTTATTTTTGATCTGTTCCATTTAAAGTAAGATTAAGGATTTAGAGAATATGTTGGGTACTTAGAAACTATTGTCGAAAAAAATAATTAAAAAAAAATTAATGCACAGGGTATTGTTTGTTGGGCACCAGGATATGAATAAAGTAGAATTAATGCGAAAGTAATTTATTCATGAAAATTGAAATACTGTCGGACATGAACAACTATCTTCTTCAAATAAGTGGCACAGTATGAGGATAAAATTAACTGACGCCAAATTAACAGCAAATATTTCAAAATATATGCATGTAAACACACATATAATATAAGCTTCTGCAATAAATCAGGACAAGGAGGACAATAACATAGGAGATCGTTCCCAAATATCAAACAAACGATAAAATTTCGGTAACTTCATACAAATTAACCAGTTATTCCAGAAAAAAAATCTGGTGCGTTTGGATCAAAGATAATTTTAATAGAAAATACAATTTCTAAAAAAAAAAAAAAAAAAAACATATAAAAGGGATAAACATGCATCCGATGTAATTCTCTAAATCCTTTGACTGATCTTGGAGCTCTAATTTAGTGTACCTTCTTGCAGCATCTTCCTATTCCAATTGCTGACAAATTGAATGTAATAGTAATAAGTATGATGAATGTATAATGGGAAGAACACATACAAGAAAAGAACTTTTACAGCAGAGGTTCCGAACTTATTTTGATCTATTCCCCCTTCAAAAATACAAAGCATAGCTAAAAAATATTTATTCATGTTTTGATTATTTCACAACACTTTTTAAAAATCAAACATTGAAAGCATATAAAATTATGAATCACTATCGCTTTCATAGTTTCTTTCTTTTATATCAAGAAACTAATAATTTAAGCGTAAGAAATCATACTTCAATTATTAGTATAGCAAACCAACGTGCTATTTTAGATCCTTTTTGAATAATGTAATGTTCTTTTCTCACAAGTTCTTTGATACACGGAAGAGCGTTTGTTCAGGAGAGAAACAAGTCTTTTTCAACAAATCGTTTGTTGTGGTGACTGCAACTGTGGCAAAACCTAGACTGATGGTGTAGGTTGGGGAATTGGATGTTCAGGTTGCGAAGAATGTGCAGCTGAGGGAATAATTATTTCTTCTGGGGCGAAAGACTGATTTAAAGAATTCTGTATAGACCTAAGCACTTTGCTCCTTTTATCTATATCCGTGTCCAACTGTTTCCTTGCTTCCTAAAACGAAACTCCCTGTGACATCCTGTCAATAAATCTATTTGTCAATTTGTTTGCTCATGAGCTAGTGAGGTGGCTATCGCACTTTAATTAACGCCGGCGTATAATTTTACGCCGGCTTTCTTCATTTCTTTTCTGATACTGCTGGGCTTTCCTTCTTTCTTCTGGCGCATACCATACGTGGATGCGAGCTTCCTCTAGGTGGCTATTGCACTTTAATTAACTCCGGAGTATAAATTATACGCCGGCGTTCTTCATTTCTTCTCTGATACTGCTGGGATTTCCTTCTTTCTTGCGCATACCACACGAGGATTCGAGCTTCCTTTGGGTGGCTATTGCACTTGAATTAACTCCGGCGTTCTTCATTTCGTCTCTGATACTGCTGGGCTTTCCCTCTTTCTTCTGGCGCATACCATACGTGGATGCGAGCTTCCTCTGGGTGACTATTGCACTTTAATTAACTCCGGAGTACAAATTATACGCCGGCGTTCTTCATTTCTTTTCTGATACTGCTGGGATTTCCTTCTTTCTTGCGCATACCACACGAGGATTCGAGCTTCCTTTGGGTGGCTATTGCACTTGAATTAACTCCGGCGTTCTTCATTTCGTCTCTGATACTGCTGGGCTTTCCTTCTTTCTTCTGGCGCATACCATACGTGGATGCGAGCTTCCTCTAGGTGGCTATTGCACTTTAATTAACTCCGGCGTATAAATTATACGCCGGCGTTCTTCATTTCTTCTCTGATACTGCTGGACTTTCCTTCTTTCTTCTTGCGCATACCATACGTGGATGCTCCGTATGGCCTGAGATTTTTTCTTTCCTTCTCTATATTCCCGTACCTAAAAAGAATTCCAGAATTATGATTACATGTTGCACATAAAAATTAAAAAAAATTGTTAAAAAATCAAAGAGTAATTGCAAAAATAAACAAGCTGTTACAACTAACATTTTTCATAATATTCACAGATTTTCTTAAGGCTGTTTTTCGATGGCTCCGTCATAACATAAATTATGCTTTTTTTTGCGACTAATAACTGCTGTAAGTTTGCAACTGTAACTCATGACTGTTAGGTCAAGTTTAGCCAGCGCTGTCTACGCTTGTTCTAAAAATTGAGCAAGACATCAATATGGAGAAAGCCCACAGTTTTGTGAAAATGAAAAGCTTTTGTAATCTAATTTTTTTAATATTTAAAAACTTACTCCAATGCTGCATTACTTGGGCTCATAAAAATTTGCAATAACTGAGATAGAGGTATTGATTTTGATAATTTTCGTCTAGGTGGAAAAATGTCGCCAAATTGGCAATTTTTAAAAAAGTTTAATAACAAATATTTAAGTTATTTGTCAGTTCTAAGCCCAGATAATTCTTCACGACAAGATTATATATATAGTTCAAAATCATCGCATTGCTCCAAGTGTAAGGCACTTAAATTAAGAATTTTTTCAAAATTTTCTTTGGCGACAGAGCTTCGAAATACAGCATTAATGTAAATTTCATTTTTTGCGTTTTTGGTCATATCTTTAAAACTAATCGGGCAATTTAAAAAAAAAAAAAAAAAAATTGCACCCGCTCATGAAACTCGTTTACACAAAGATAATTTTATGCNCAAACAGTATAATTGCAAAAATAAACAAGCTGGTACAACTAACATTTTTCATAATATTCACAGATTTTCTTAAGGCTGTTTTTCGATGGTTCCATCATAACATAAATTATGCTTTTTTTTGCGACTAATAACTGCTGTAAGTTTGCAACCGTTACTCATGACTGTTAGGTCAAGTTTAGCCAGCGTTGTCTATGCTTGTTCTAAAAATTGAGCAAGACATCAATATGGAGAAAGCCCACAGTTTTGTGAAAATGAAAAGCTTTTGTAATCTAATTCTTTTAATATTTAAAAACTTACTCCAATGCTGCATTACTTGGGGTCATAAAAATTTGCAATAACTGAGATAGAGGTAGTGATTTTGATAATTTTCGTCTAGGTGGAAAAATGTCGCCAAATTGGCAATTTTTAAAAAAGTTTAATAACAAATATTTAAGTTATTTGTCAGTTCTAAGCCCAGATAATTCTTCACGACAAGATTATATATATAGTTCAAAATCATCGCATTGCTCCAAGTGTAAGGCACTTAAATTAAGAATTTTTTCAAAATTTTCTTTGGCGACAGAGCTTCGAAATACAGCATTAATGTAAATTTCATTTTTTGCGTTTTTGGTCATATCTTTAAAACTAATCGGGCAATTTAAAAAAAAAAAAAAAAAAATTGCACCCGCTCATGAAACTCGTTTACACAAAGATAATTTTATGCAAAAAAATTACTTTAAAAAATTTATTATTTTTCATAAATTTAATGCTGGACGAAAAAATTTTGAATTATTAACTATAAATTTTTTTTATACATATTAATCTACGAATTTTTCTATAGTGAAATTATAAGTTTCAATTGTTTTAATTAAGTAGAATATTAAACAAATTAAAATAAATTTTTAAAAATATAATTTGGCGGCAATGAAAAACATATTTAAATGGAGGGATTAATTTCTAACTTTGGTTAATAAACAAGGAACTTGACTTATGCAAGCCTAGCATACAACCATATTTCCATGTTTTTGAAAATTCTACTTAACGTTTACCAATTTCATCAATGTTTTAGACAAAAATATCGCAAATTATATAAAACCTTGTGAATGTGCATTAGAATTACCATACCCTCAGAATTTTTTTAACTTTGAACTTTTCTGCCTCGAAGACTATCGAAGTTTTAAAAATGATTATCCCTAATATTTTGCATATAATTATAATAAGTTATGTAAATTTTATTTTAGTGTGAAATCCTTGTATAAATGAAGTAAAAACAACATAAAAAACACAAACAATGTGAAATAAAAAGTTCACGTGTTCAAATTCTAAAAATGTGGAAAATCATAATTTTTTTTTATAAAGGAAATTAATAAAAAAAAGAATCTTAGGTTTTTGGTCAGAAATCAGCTCAAAATTGCCTAGAAACTTCGAGATATTTTTCTATTAACTATTAACAAATAAACTTCTCCGAGCAATCACAACATTATTTCATTTTTTTTATTGTCTGAACTTTGTTGCTTAGCAACGAAGTAAAATTAGGAAAAGGGTGCGTAGCCAAATTATTCAACAAAAAATAAGCACTTTTCCAGCACTCAAATAATATTTTCAAGCACTTTAAAAAAATATCATAATTCGGCAGGGTTGGAAAGTTTTTGACAATTGACTGTTTTTAACCATAAAAAAAAAACCTTTTGGAACTGTTTTTGACAATTGTGAAAATTTTTGAATCATGCAAATCGAATGACGTTTTCATACACTACGGACTGACGATGCGCCGAAAGAGATTGAGGTTGAATTAATTATGAAAACGTTAAATAGAACAATGTGAACAGTGCCTTTCTGCATAATTCGTAACGAAAATTAACATGGTAAAGGAAAAATCTTAATTTTAAAAAGGAAAACTTAAGCATTTTTTAAAAACACCCAATGGAAAAAGTACCTTTAAGGGGTTTTAAAAAACGAAAATAAGCACTTTTTTAAAACGCTACACTTGAATAAGTCTATGCTTATCTTAAATTATTCCTATCCCCCCTCCCCAATTTATAATCCAATCTTTTCGAAATTTTGTCTACCAAATCTCTTATCCAAATAAGTAAAAAAATGTATGTTTATCCAGAGAGAGTACGCTTTTGTGTCTGATTTCATAACTTAATAGTTAACATCAATTAATTAGCATATTTGAAATTATTACCAGAAACCATTAAGATTGACATTTAGTACGTAAAAATCCCATCATTAGAACGAAAGTTTCCCAGAGTGATATCTTTTTTATTTTGAGCACTGTACCTAAAATTATTAGCCTCCCTGGCAGTGTTTTTCATATTTTGTTTATCATATTATGACTCATGGTAGTAAAATAAAAATTCAGAACTGTATTCCTTTATGCTTCTGTAGTGAAGAGGATAAAATTCCGTCAATACTCCCTTGTTGTTCTATAGTAGTTTTTCGCTTGTATGTGTTGTTCTTAAAAAAATACAAATGAAGGGAATATTCTTATATTCCCTTGTACTGATTTTGCAATTAATATACAGGAATAGCTCCCAATGGCATTACTATTTTTATAATAGTTTTTGGGTATCATTTGTAATCGTTTAGTAAAGTTTTGAATCATTATGAAGTGCCCAACTCCCCTCCAAATCTATTACTACTGAACTATGCGTCGCTTGGACATGTAGTACCTGTTCAAGGGGATAGTCTTGATTCTATCATTGTAGTATCAAACTAAATTAGTCACCATTTACCTTAAAAACAACGAATAAACCCTACCGGAAGTCTTGGCCCTTCCATGACGTCATAGCTTGACCTAACTACTTCCTTTTTAACGTCCCTAGTAGGGGCCGGGATAGCATGGTTGGTAGGAAGTTGGACTCATGTTCGTGAGTTCGAATCCCTTCGACTGAAGAATCTCCGTGTATTAAATGATGAATGGTTCCCATAACAAATCATTACCTCTGAGCGGTGGTGGTTCAGGGGATAGAGAATTCGTCTTCCAATGAGGTAAACCGTGTTCGAATTCCAGCGATGGCACCGACCACAGTGCTGACGTAAAATATCCTCAGTGCTAGACGGATCATGGGTTAGAGTCCCTTTGCCGTCAGGCTAAATGTGGGGGGTTAGTTCCATCAAAAAATCCTCCACGAAGGCAAATTTCTCCCACTATTTGATCAAGAGCTCCCTTTTCTTCTGGATTGGGCTCAAAATTACAAGGCTACGGAGTTGAACATAAGTAGTCTTAGACTCAAAATTGTGTTGGCTGTTCAACTACGGTTGTAAAATAAAATACCTCTGGTTGTACTGAATTGAAGATTGATTGTTATCCGTTTCAGGTCAAAATTACGATAAGTGGATGAATGAATAAAATATGAATTGATCCTCCTTGTAAAACGGGCTGTGATGTGTGTGTGGCTGAAGTCATATTCTTCGCCATAGATGGTACTACTGAAAAACAAGCAACGCACCCTTTGCCTTAGAAATTGGTTGATTTCCCATAGCAGACTTGCTGATAGTGGCAAAATTAACACTTTCCGAGTTTGATTGTTACCGCAAGATTTAGTTTGTAATACAGTTGAAACGATATTGAATATTTTTGAATAGTTATTCATTTTATTTTCTATTCTTATGAGAGAACGATATAGTTAGTTCGTTGAGTTTAAAAAAAAAGTGAACTGTGATTTACTTCACGGAAGCTGCTGGTATATTACAAAAATTTGCTTTAGTTAATTGTCACAGTTATACGAATAAAATTTTATTGAATAACTATAATCATAAACATTTAATGATTATTTTTACTACGTGATTAAATTTGTATGACTTTTTTACTGAAAAATATCGGGAAAATTTCCGTATCATGATCTGTGGCAGAATAATAGCGAAGTCTTGGCAACTTCCGGGCAGTGGCCCGCGAGAAACTTTAAAAAAAAAAATCACAGAAAGGGACTAACTCGAAGGGTATAACTAGTAGCCCCCGACACCGGGGCAAATCTCTACATGTTTTTTAAAAAATATTTTTCCCGTTAGGAATTAATTTAGCGCTTTGGCGATTGTAGTTGATGTGGCAGATCACAATAAGAAAATATCCCCCAAAATATGTTCAGTTTCATTTTTCTGCCTGACTTGTACTGAGAAGCAACAGGATCCAAGTTTTATTATTAAATTTTACATTAACTCGTAAAATTAATATTTCAATTGAACTCACGAAACCTCACATAAAGATAAACATTTTATTGAAGTTCAATTAGAAATTACACAATGATCATGATGATTATGTTGACATCACTCTTTCATCTTTTACCTCATTTCTAAATCAACTTTTTTTTTTAATTTAAAAAAAAATATAAACTTCATAGCTCAAATTAGTGTAAATCAATACATTCGTGTCATCCACAAAAGTTATATACGTCTCTTATTGTGCTGCCATCTGTTGATGGTAAAGAGAACCATCGTCAAGAACAAGTTGAATTGAAGCTGCTTTTACAAAAGTGATCGAGTGGAAATGTTCTTCACCTTTTATCACAAGTGTAATTTGTCATGCAAACGTCATGTTTCTTTTTAAAAATTAGAATTCCTTATGGTTAGTATTAATTTAAAAGCTCTAATTAAAAAAGTATTATAATTCGGTTATTCTAAATTAAATTTTTCGGTTAAATTAGAATTCCTTTCGGTTGTTAGCATTTTTTAAGGAGTGCAACGTTACCTATCAATCAAATCTGAATTATTTTTGCCCATAACAAATTCCAACTGTTTCCTGTTCACTCGGATAAAATATCAGGTCATTCTAATCGGCATTTTAAAATTTTTTCTAAATATATACTATAGCCTTTTAGAGAGAACGTGTTTGACCACAATCATCAAGTACTTTCCTTATTACACTATTTCCATGCAAATATTAATACACATTAAATATTATATTACTAATTACATAATTACTGCGAAAATGTAATAAATATAATTGTATAAATTATTTTTACAGAGCTATGGGCTGTTGTAAATAATGCTGGCATATACAGGGGTTTTACAGTCGAGCTCTGCACTTTGGACCATTTCAAAGATGTATTCGATGTGAATGTGATGGGAACTGTCAGAGTGACCAAAGCATTCTTGCCGTTGTTAAGGCAGTCAAAGGGAAGATTGGTCAACATAAACAGCATAGCAGGTAAATGATGTTAACAGATAACCATCATTTTTTTTTTACATATTTTTAAATGACGATAATGTGAACTTTGGGTATGTTTGAATACAAAGCACTTATGTGGAGACCTCGATATTTATGTGAATCGTTTTTGCAAGGAGTGGAAAGAAAAAAAAAGTTCATAGGAAATATTCATTCTGATTAACAAATTATCGAACTTGCACAAGCTCTAAATTTGTTAATTAATTGAAATTTTAATTTTAACTTAATTAATGCTTATTAATCAGGTAATTAAACTACATATTTTTTCTTTCTGAAAAATGTAATTTCTTTTAACAGATCTGGAATCAATTACCTTAAAACAAATGAAACCATGGCATTATATGCCCACTTTCAGTAACTACATCTTCCAATAGTAATCCCGTTCACTCAGTTGAGTTTTGGAAACTTTTTAATATTAAAAATATTTTACAAATTGAGTTTAAGTCTCATGGCATTTTTTTTTCTCAAAAAAAGAAATATTTTCTTCTTTATTATCCTGTTTATTTTTTTTTGTCCAATAAAAATTAATTCCTGCCAGTTAGCTAAGTACAAATTTAATATGATTGCAAAAGTTAAAAAATTGTAGTCGTAGCCTTTTTTACATCTTGAATGGAAGATTTATCCACGAATCTTAGATCATGTTTAAGCTAAAGGCACGATTTAATAAATGCTCATTAATTATGTAAAAACAGCATATTTTCTGAAAGACATATTTCTTTCCACAATCAGAAATTAGTTTCCTCAAAATAAATTTGAAGGGATCAATTTAGATAGGGATGGCCTTTATCGCTCTCAACTTCATAGATTATCTGCTTATTCTTAGAATAAAATAAATTAGTAATATTTTCTGTTTCTTCTTCATTCTCTTATTAATTATGTCCGTCCAACAAAAATTAATTCCGACCAACTTAGTATAAACTTAATACAATAGCAAAGGATTAAATTCTGCAGTCATGGCGTTTTCAGATATTGAATTAAGGTCCTATCCACGAACCTTGGTTTATATTAAATCTAAAGGTCAGACTTAACTAATGCTTGTTTATAATGTAAAAACAGTATATTTTCTGTGAAACATATTTCTATCCACAATCAATTCCCTCAAAATAAATTTAGATAGATCAAATTATAGCCTTAAAGGCTCTCGATTTGAAGGATTATCCGCGATTCTTAGAATAAAGTATTTATTGTAGATTTCACTGCAACACCAGACATGAAAATTTCAAAATATTTTTAAATTTACAATGATGTGCGTGAGCCTCAATGTGATTTAACATGCTATTATACTCGCAAATTCGTTTTCTTTGAAACATAATATTTTTGATTATGAGTTACTACCACGAGAAAAACTTATCTGAAAATGGAAAAAAAAAGCTATAAATAAAATAGATACAAGCACTTTTTAATTTCTGGGATAAGGTCTCACGAGGGTGTTTTTCTTGTGGCAGTAAGTCAGTGTCATGCTTAAGCATCCATGCAAGAGTAATTACACTGAATTTTTTTCAAACAAACATGGAGTGAATTTTATTTTTCTAGATAAAAAAATATTCCTTAACCCTAGGACGCAGAAGGGATACCAGTTGTCCCTTTCATATATTTGTTTTCTGATGCTCTAATTACAACAAAAATATATTTTGGTATTTTTTTATTATAAAAATTAGTCTAATAGCTACGAAAAAAATTATTTAGATTATTGGAATTACATTTTTACTAAAGTATAAAATCCAAAATTAGTAATTAGAATTTTTTTTTCCACATTCATATTCGAAAATTTCTCAATAATTGTAATTAAAATTAGTAGTTTCGTAAATTATTTTAATTTTGTAAATTAAAATAGTTTCAATAATAAATATCCGTCAACTGCAAATTTGAAACATTGTTTGGAAGTGAGCGTGTTTGGAAGATTATACCTTTATCGCAGAAAAAACATTTAATAACCGCAAATTAATAAAAAGCTAAATATAATATTTTTCACTTGTTTTGACTCAAATCATTACAAAAAATGGAAAACAAATAATAATTATGCGTCAAAGTGAAATAATAAGTTAAAAAAAGTTATTATGTAAATGTTATTTTCATAGGAAGGTTCAGTGCTCTATATATGACGGCGTACACTATGACTAAACATGCAACCGTTGCTTTGACTGAATGTCTTCAACAGGAAATGTTAAAGCCTGGTGTTAAAGTCATTTCTGTAGAACCAGAACTTTTTCAGTAAGTATTCATTAAGATCTATGCAACAAGGCTTTTGTGCACTTTTTTCAGTCATTGCTCCTCACATACATCACCACTTCTCGAATATTTATAAAAACTAATTAATAGGCTCAACAGAGCTGAATCTATTCCAGTACTCAATGTGATCTTTCATTTTATCCATTTAAATATAAATGGAAAATAAAGGGATAGCTTAAATGATTCATCCACTTTCAAAGGACTATTTGTTTAGAAGAAAAAAGTCCGATGACATATGATATTCATATGATCGTCATATGATGGTTATAGTAAGCATTAATGATTAAAATTGGCAGTAATTATTTAAAATTGCTATAAAAAGACAAAAAGATGAAGTAGACAAATTTACTTCTTTTCCTTTTATTTTGAAGAACTATTTTGATGTAAAAATACATATCTACACTGTAAACACTGTTGTGTAATACATATCTGAATTTGGTATTGAAAAATTGTTAACTTTATTTCAAGTCAATACCAAATCAAGCGTTTTTATACACTAGTTATAAGCGTTTTTATACACTAGTTATTAACTATATCCAAAGGGTGTAGTTAAATGTTAATTTCAATAATTGAGAAAGCTCACAGCAATTTGCAGCCTGTTGGAGGGTAGTTTCTTAGTAGAAAAATATAACACTCTCAATTTATTAACAAATCTCACTTGTGGAGTTTCATGCTTAAAAAAAATGTCAGGAAAATTGGCAAAATAAGCAGAATTAAAGTTGGTAAAACTAAAATTGACCTAATTTTGAAATCAACCAGTACTTTGTTGGACATCTTGAAAAAGTGTATTTTTAGGATAGAATATGAATGACTTATAATCAAACATTTATATTGCTATTCTTTTTATCTTTTAGAACATCTACGCGGTAGACGATTTGTTTCATGATAAATTATATCTCACTTATTCTGATATTTTTTATTTTTTAGAACATCGATTGCAACAGAAGATTTGATTCACAATCTCATGAAAGAATCAGTAGATAATCTTGACGATGATTTAAAAGGTATATACAATGAGAAACGTGTAAAACAATTGAAACGCATTTCAAAATTAATTTTTGAAATGCATTCTTCACGAAATATTAGCATTGTTATTGATGAAATAGAAAGAGCAATAAGCGCTGTTCATCCAGACTCTGTATACACACCATGCAGGAATTGGATCACAAAACTGATGCTATATACAGGGCGATTCTTGCCGGCCAGTGCTTCACTCGGTGTTCAGAAGTTGTCATGGTAAGTATGCATACATGTACCTTTTTTCCATATTAAAATATCATGCTTTAACGATGCATAGCGCATAAAAATTACATAAAATTTAAGTATATATGCCCTTGCTACCCTTCCAAAGAAGTGCTGCATTGAAATTTCAAAGTAAAAAAAAAGAAAGTGTTTTCCTATTGGAAGAGACCGATTTCTAAAATAATTTTTTTTCTCTCTTAGATTAGGAAACTTGTATACTTTTAAAATTTTGTATGGTAAATGAAAAATATACTAATTCATTTCATTGATATTTAGGAAACTACTGGGAAAATATGCAGGCTCCATTTGATAAGAGTGTAGATAGATATTTCTTGAAATTAGACAAATCTATTGCAGTTTCCTGATATAAGTTTATCTCTGCACATGATGCACCCGCTTGTTATTGTTATACAACATGAGGCAAACAGCTAAACAATATAAGAAACCTTTTTGTTTTAGCTGAACTAAAAAATTGCACTTTTGGAAAATTTACATTCAGCAATCAATTCGGCCTTAGCATTGACTTTAATATTTCTTTTTTAAAAGAGAAAAGTTTTAGCTGATTGTGTTACTAATATGTAATTTTATGTCATTTATCTTGTTCTTCAATAAAGAATTATGTGACAAGGAAACTTCTAATAATGCAGAGAAGAGGTAAATATTAAATTTATAGTATTCTCAAGCACACATTGCTATAACTTATAAAGTTTATTACACAAAAGAATTTTTATAACACATCTTTTCCCTAAATTTAGCAAGCCATGTAAAGCTAACAACATTATCAAAGATTAATGTTTGTATATATCCATAGCATGGAGCTAAATAAGGAAATAATGCTACTAGCCAGTAGTAGCTGCTACTTAAAAACATGTAGCTATTTTTTTACACTGTAAACTTTGAATAACAAAAAAACTGCTGATATTAAAAATATAAGTCATTTTTATGAAGCATTTCTCAGAAAGTAGAAAAATTACAAGGTTTATATCTAAAATAAAGAAAAATTTTATGAAACAAGCAAATAAGATTTAGAGTATTATAAAATAATCAGAACAATAAACGATAAATCCATATTTATTAAAAAAAATTGCACTTGGGTGTGTTTTGGAAGAAAATAGTGGCACTCAATTTTTTAATCACAATTTGTTACAGTTAGTCACCTCATAGTATTAATTGCCCTACTGGGCATAGTGATTTTTTTTGCAGTAACCAAGACCATTTTTTCGTAGCACTTAATAGAGAAAATTAAAATGCTAAGTAAAACAGTTAATTGATAATCAATAAATGAATTTGATCTTAGAAAAATAAAGTTAAATTGTAAATATATAAAAAATTAAAATTCATAAAAACTTCTGAAAGGTTACTTCAAATTTAAACACCAACAAAATGTTCACTGATATGCTAATAAATTTCTTTGAATTATGAAATAGAAATGAGAGGCTGTAAGCAAATTGAACAAATGATTATAGGAAATAATAAACAAAAATCATTAAAATTTTTTTAAGAATAGACTGTCTGTAGTTATAATAAAATTTCTGCAATTTCAAAGTTGGAACTAAAATAAGTAATAGTTGGCATATATTTTGTATGCAAAACATGGATTTGTTTATTGCCCTCATTTAACAAAAAAAAAATTTAATAAATGTTTGATTAGATGCTAAAAAGCCTGTATAAAAAACCTGTTTTAACAAGTAGTTACTCAAACTTCTACCTTAATATTTATCTAAACGATGCTTGCAGAAAAAGGAAGTATTTGATTGTTCATTCAAATTGAATTTTCTTCAGTTCATTTTATAATGAAATATGCAATTGCAATAACTAACAGATGATGTTACCATTAAAATCATTGAATACATTTTACTGTTGTTCATAATTCTGCTTATGTTCCAAAACAAATTTTTGTTAAATGAGAATATTAGACTGATGGGAGTGGAACTCTATAGACCCATGAGATTGGAATGTGTCAAGAAATAGCAAACGAACGAATAGATGTATTTTATACAATGTGTGTGTTGTGTGAGCGGAATAAATCACCTAAGTTCAATCACAAAAAAAAAAAAAAAAAAAAAAAAAAAAAAAACAACTTAAACATTATTCCAAATAGTAGTTAAAAATTATAAAATATGCAGTGGATTTTACTTAAAAATTTTTATACTTAATTTTTGTACATTATAGCTTTTACTTTTGTTAATATAGGTTGACTCAGGTTTAACAATATACTGTCATTTTTTGGGGAATTGATCCTCATTTAATGAGTGCATTGTCTCAGTCCTTATGTTCTAGTTATAAATGTGTTTGAATTCTCCAACAATATAAATAAAAAAATTCTGTTTAAATCTATTTTTAGAATTTATAAATTTAAAAAATATAAAACTGTCAAAGTAATTTATATAAAAAATTATTTTTAATAAATACTTTCTGGGTGTCTGAATAATTACAATGACGAAACTAATACAAAATGAATATCTTACAAAACAATAGAAGTAGATGATAACTTCAACTAGAAGGCCACTGGGCGTCATAAAATTGAAGTAAAGACTTGCTTAATGAGGGACCAATGTTTCTAAAAAAAGAAGTAATAAAATTAACATACTCAATGTATATTATAGTTATCATATACCTGTAATTAACATATAAAAGGATATTAAAATATGCTTGAAGTGTTAATAAAATAGCACTACTGGATTACAAATATGGTTGCACATATATAAACAATTTAATAAAGTGAAATATGCAATTTTGCTGATAAATCTTATTATAATAATTATATTACAATGGAAATTTTGAAATTTTTTTTTTTAAAAGTTGTTAAAATTAATTTGCAAATTTTTATTGCTCCCAAATTTTGAGATAATTTTTTCAGAGGTTTTAGAAAAAAAGAAGTCCATTTAGACACTCCTTTCTCCAAATGGACAGGGGTTCATATAGAAGAAATTCATTTCTGACATTCTCTCCATAAAGTCAAATGTTTAAATAAATACATAATCAAAAGAAATTTTTAAAAATTAATAAAATAATGATAAATTAAAAGAACATATAAAAATAGAAATAAACTTAATATAAAAACGTACATAGTACCAAAATTAAAAATACATTAAAAGTTTGTGTTTTACGTGGTTTTGGCTATTAAAATCTTCATGATACATTTTCAGTTTATTAATATTTCAATTTCTAATCCATTATTTTTTAGGAGACAAAAGTGTTCCTCAATTTATAACTTGAAATATTTCATTAAAGTATGACACATATAAGAAAGATTGTGGCAATATTTACTTGTACGGCACCTGGGATGTAGCAGATACCTGGCAATTACCAAATTTTTCAGGTTATGGCCTGAATTTGAGAAAAGTTTCCCTAGTATTCAGTTTTTAGTCTCAACATCCAGTACTGGATGCTTGGGCAAGTTTACCAAGTATTCAGTACCAAGTAACTTTCACTTAAGTTCAACTCAGCCATATTCAGATTTATAAAAACCTTAAAGGTATTCATTAAAATAGTTTTGGAAATCTAAACATTCAATCAGCTTCTCTATAATCAAGATGAAATTACTGGCTTAGGCCCAACAAATTGCACTCTTGTACTGAATTTTAATTCAGGAAATTCTTGGTGAAGGGGAAATTTTCAGAGGTCTCTACTTAAAGGAAGGACATGCTAATTTAGATATTTAATTCTGAAAACTATTTTAACAAGACTAATATAATAGCTCTATGAATACAGACTTAGAAATAGAGAATTATAATAACATTTAAAGTTAATAAAAGCATAATGATTAAAATTCAAAGACAACTTTTGACACTTGCGAAATACTAAATTTCCTTTTCAGCAAATGAGTAAATGCAATAATATGTCTGTATTATTAGGTTTTGTAGGCTTAGCATTTAATTGAAGTATAATTAGTCAACAATGGCAAACAGAACATAATCATTTTAATACAAATGAAGCATTAATTATTGCTTTAACTAATGCTATAACTAATGATGAAACTGAGACAATGTTTTTAAAGAAAATGATAAATTTTTTGAAGGTAGTTTTCGTTTTAGAAACTAAAATCTTTTTTTTTTTTTTTTTAAACATAACTCAGCAAAAAACACATTTGGATATATTTTATTAAATTTTCAGTATAAGTTGATTTATGTTCATATTGAAAAATTGGATGCATGAATAAAATAGGCCATTGGTAACTTTAAATTTTAACCAGAAAGTTAGTTTATTCCTGGTTAGCTTAATAAATTGAATTTCCAACCTATCTGATTAAAGTTCTCTAACAGTCTGGTTAACCATGGGAGGTTTTCCACGCTTTTTCTCTCTGCATAATGTAAGTATGCCTTCGGTTCACATATTAAGTTTTACATGAAAGTTAAGCGACCCTTTATCCCTTGCTTGATCAGGGAGTTATTTTATCTTACAAGGGCAAAAAATTACTACGATATGAAGAAATAATTGTAACATTCAGGACCGCAAAACCTTTATGTAACCCTTCTGTTCAGCATTAATAACACAATATATTTCCTCACCAAGTATTGAAAAGCATCAGAGATTGCATTAAAGTAGATAAGGTTCATGTAAATTGCGTTTATAGATTAAAAACTAAACCCTGAAAATTAGAAAATTTTTCATTTAATATACTGCCATTTTATTAAAATATTTGTAATACATCCTATGCTTAACTAAAGCTAAATTATTGAATCCTATTAAAAAATTGAAGTAAATCAAATGGAAAATTAATAATTAAGTCAACTATTAGCGGAAGTTTCCACTTCATTACAAAGTTTTAAATTAATTATCCTGTATGCGAATAGTCACTTAAAATTTTTGATAGAATTTTTTTTTTTAAATTTAGTTCAAAAAAATCTAAAAAAAATTATTTTTATTTAGATAGGCACACAATAAATTTCTTTTCATCACCACAATAAAGCAATCACATAAACCATTTAGAAATATGAGAGTAATTTTCTTTTTCTGATTACCCTCATAGAGAACTGTCTCCTTTTTCAGTCCATTTATAATCCTTATTATTTAGTTGAGAATCTTACAAACTACTTATTCTTTATCACACTACTCAAAACACTATAAAAAAGTAGAGACCACAGTCTCGCATACAGGGTTCTCACATAATTTCATAAAAAAAATAAATAAATAAATAAAATAAAATAATATAATTCCCTGATCTCTCCAAGCTTATATAGTGAATTTCAATGAAAAATTTTACCATATTTTGTCTATACTATGCAATTTTTTAATCAGAAAACTGATTTTTTATTTATTTGTAATGTCAAATATTAGATTTTGTGAGCAAAAACAAAAGATAGAATGAGAATGGAAACATGGAAAAGTTTCTCTAAAAAGGAGAATTGTAATATAGACGCTAAAATTATTTAACTCAAATCTCAATAACTGATTAACTAACAATTCTAAGACTGGTTATTTTATGATGTAGGAGTTTTTAAAAATTTTTTTTGTATAAAGATTGCAATTTTTCTTGAGTTTAAATATAATTCTCTGACAATTCTAGGTTTTCCCTTGACCACTGATAATACAGTAAAATATTTGTGATTGTCAGCTACAGAGCACTGAAGCTGTTAATGCATTAGAAAAATGTACAGATAAATAAAAACTTACTTTTTATTTAGCCCAAATTTAATAGATGATATTAGATTAATCTTCTCGGCTTCAGAATCACATCCAGCATATGCTTCAAGAAATCTATTTAAAATAATAAAGAAAAGGCATTGAAAAGTTTATTAAATTATTATTGATCTTTTTATCTACATAAATTAACACTAATACAAATTTAAAAAAAAAAAATCTAAATTTGGAAAACTTTTACAACTACTTTTCGGAGGTACAATTTATCTTCAGAGTTGAAAGTTAAATTACAAAACAAAAAGTTATTTTAGAAAAAACTAAGCAATTCAAACAAACAAACCTCTCTTCATCTTTTAAAGCTACTAATTTTTATGATATAAAATTAAATGCAAACAAAAAACATAATTGTTCATTTATTTAAAATAGCACTATCATTCATAATTGGTAAATTTTTGCACATAAATTTACCAATTATGAATGATAGTACTATTACTTTTATTGACGCTAAATTTTATTCATCGATCCTGTTTTCATCACGCCAAAACAAGTGGCATTTTCGCATCTAGATGAAAACGACACTGACTCAAATTTAAATTTGCTGCGAAAAATCATGCACCTTTGATAACATTTTGAAGCCAATGGATAAGAATGACCAACCTCCATTAATGACCATTTTAGTTTGGAATAGAGAGTGTGGATAGTATAAATATACTGCAAAATATTGTTAATTATATTTTTCAAAAAAGATTATTCATAGAAGTAGTTGGTCTTTACTCAGAGAAATATTTCACAATACATTAATAAAATAAACATATCAACACTAACTGAAATACATAAAAGTGATGAATAGGAATATGATGAAAAGTTACAAGCATATTTTTAACACCTGAACTCTATTTGAAATAAAAAAAATATTAAAAAACTTTAAGAAATGCAAGACTTCTTAATAGCATTGAAAATATAGTATAAATTACTATATTAATTTAATAAAAGTTACTCAGTTATGAGTTTATATTATAAGTATAAAAAGAGTATTAAACTTTTTTTTTACCTAGGGAGAGTATCAAACTGGTCAACTATCGCTGCAGCCCTATCAACCGAAAGTCCAAAAAATTGTAACAAATGTTTTGCAAACATTTCCTTGAGAGTTAGACTCTGTTAAAAAATCAATGAGGAAAATTTAAATTAGATAAATTGCCTGCAATATATGCAAATAATAATTTCATTTGTACAGAGTTTACCTTATTTTTTACAGTTGAACAGTTAAAATCTTTGAAACACATAAAATTATTTGATGTATAACACTTTTTCTGCACAGATTCACATGATACTGCTACAAGAGTTTGATCCTAAAATTGCAAAAAAAAAAAACTGTATTTATAAACAAATAACAAATTTAAGTTCATCATAAAAATAAAGTTAAATGTCTCTTACAGTTAATTAATTAAGATGAACACATGTCATGCTAATACTAACTCTCATGTGGAACATTTAAGTCCCTGGTACAAATGATTCAAATTCAAACAGTATTTAAAGCCATTCCTTTTATTTGACACAGCTGTTTAAAATGTTGTGAAGTATCATTCAATAATTTGATAATGCAATTAATACATTTTTATTGAATTAATTGCAGTTTTATAACAAAAAATAAAAAAAAATGCTTCAAAAAATTAAACTACAAACTTAAACATTTTAGTTAGCTACAAATTTCTTAATATTTGTGATAGACATTTGGCTCAATTAGAACTTCTACACCAACTAGGCTCTTTCATAAGCAAAAATAGCAGGAGAAAAAAGATATATGCAATGACATTTTTTAGCAGTAATGCTATTTGGGCAACAAGTATACCTTTCCAACCAGAGCATGTTTTTTGTGTTAGAAATCAACACAGATAAACCCTAATTTGAGTAGTTTTAATTAGTGAGGAGGAAAGGATCAGTTACTTAATATAATGACTTTTAGTCAAAATGCAAAAAATTGTTAAATTAATTATATTATATACTAGGTAGAGTCAAAAAATTCCTGGAATGGTCACCTACATTTATGCAGATGCTTGTCTGAGGGAAAATGTTTTTTCTTAAAAATTTTTTTTTACAGATTGGCAGCACTAATTACATAAACACACTATAAAACGGAATAATTTCTAATACTGTCGGCGCTAGCTGCAGATAATTTCTGACAAAGCGAATTTTTCATTCTTTGGATTTTAAAAATGTCGTATTTAGAGCAGAGGGCAAGCATCAAATTCTGTGTTTTGTTCAAGAAATCACCTTTAGAGACTCTCGAGATGCTAAAGAAAACACAAGGAAACGATGTGATGGAAAGAACAGCTGTGTACGGGTGGCATAAGCATTTTTATGAAGGCTGCACAAGTCCAAGAACATCAAAGATGATTCTTGGATTGGACACCCTTCCTCTTACACTGCAGATGAAAATGTTGAGAACATTCAAGAAATCGTGCATGCGGACAGACAAATAGCTCATCACGCTATTGCCTCTGAACTAGGAATTATACATGAGAGTGTTCACAGCATTCTTCAGGGTGATTTGAACATGCAACAAGTTTGGTTGCACATGGTTCCAAAAATTTTATCACCTGATCAAAAAAATGTGAGAGTGAACATGAGCAGGGATTTGATTGACATTGCTGATGAAAATGACAGCTTCTTGAATAAAATCGTAATAACAACTGATGAGACAAAGTGCATTCTTTAGGACTCTTAGGCAAAACGTTAGTCAAGTGAATGGAAAGCAAAAATATCACAAAGGAAAGGAAAATTTTGTATGGACAAAAGTTGAGGGAAAGTGATGTCGGAAGTGTTGCTCAATTACAAGGGCGTTATTCATTACAAATTTATTCCTAAAAGCCAAACTGTCTATAAAGAGCTTTACCTTGAGAAACTTAAAACGACTGCGAGGTGTAATCATACAAAAACGACCTGAAAAATAGGCAACAAACAATTGGTTTATTTTACACAACAATGTTTCACCACATTGCGCTCTGATTGTGAAAAAGTAACTTGCCAGTACTGTTCATCCTCCTTATTCTCCCGACATAGTAGCAGCATATTTACACTTGTTTCCACGGCTTAAAATGAAACTGAAAGGACACCCTTTTGTCTATTCAGATGAGGTGATTGAAAATATGATGAAGCAACTAAAGAACTTCTCAAAAAATGGATTCTAGGAGTGTGCTGAGCAGTTATACGAATGCTGGAAGAAGTATGTGAATGCAGAAAGATAGTACTTTGAAGGCTAATAGGAAAAAATTTCTGTTTTATTTTTTAATCTCTCTACATAAATACACTTAATTGAAGTCATCAGTTTTAAAAATAGATAACTTTTATTTCAGCCATAAAATAAATCTATGTAATTAACTCAGTCAAAAAAAGACAAATTTTTTTTTCTGACACTTAAATTAGTGTTAATTAAATTTGAGCAAAAATGTTGTTTTAGAATTTAAAGGATGTTTTGCTTTTTTGACTCAGCACAAAAGTTTTGATATTTCCTCAGAGTTTCGATATTGCCAATATGTAGAAAATTTCTCTAACAATGGGTGCCACACCAAAAACATTTCAAGACTGAACTTATTTTTCGACCAATTAATAGTGTCTAGCTTTGTTTACTAGAATTTACAAAAACTTACTGTTCACTGGCGGCAAAAATTACCTTCCTTGAGAATAGCCTATATATTATATCAGAGGAGATTAATTCTTCTAATAAAACATGTATAATTATTTTAATTTTTCTTAATTTATTTCTTACAGTAGACAAAACAAAAACAACAAATAACCTTGTACATCCTTTAACACTAATCTCTGAAAAATGCATCACAATCATTTTATTATTTCTTTTCTGGAGCCATTTATTTATATACATCTTGATTTTTTCATTTCAGAATCAATATTTTGTCCTAGCCCGATAAATATCATATTTTAAAAATAATCTTAATATAATTTTGCCCAGCATTCCAAAATATCAGGAGAAAAAATGCTACCTCAAGCAGAATCAGATTAAGCAATAAAAAGTTTGTTTGTACAAACTTGTGTTGGAGTTCAGTCAATCTCACTCTTTTAGTACATCTTGTGTGACATTCTAACATGATAATTTTGCAATAATTATGAAAAATAACAATGTATAAATATTACAAAGTAATATTTTTTAAGAGTGAAAAAGTGGAAAATTTGATTTACTGAAAAATTAGTTCAGAAAACAAATTGAAAATAGAAATTATTCAGAGAATGGGATTTTTTTAAGTCCTCAGGATTGAAAAATGTCACCCATGCATAACATATAAGAAGAAGTAAAATAAAAATGAATTATGCCGTAGCGTCAAATAGAATGTAAAATTAAATAAATATCAATGTTAAAAATTAAATATATTTTGAAAAAATAAATAAATAATTTTACTTTATACTTATTTTTCAACATTCTAGTCATTGATGAAAGATATGAAACAGACTCCTTGATATTTTGAGTTCTTTTTACGATAAAATCGTCAACTACCTGAAAGAATTAACATTACAAGGTATTTAGATTGATGTAATGACAAAGCAAATTATTTGAGCATAAAAATGAATGAGAAATATTCACTCAATGTACACTATTTCTTTAAAATTTACAACACGTACATAATAATTAAAAAAATATCCATGTTAATTAAAATGTATTTAATATTAAACACTTTAATGTGTTAATGTAATCTGGTGGTTAACAGTTAAATTACCTGTGTATTTACAATAGCTTGCTCTAAAGTAGATTCAGGTAAGCCCAAATACTTTGCTCCAGTACAGTTTTCTACTAAATAAACTGGTTTCTTTAAACCGCAATTTCTTAATCGGAACTAGAAAAACAAAAAAGACATAAGTATATTTTGTAACAGACAATTCAAGACTAGTATCCAGTTAGGCTCCATTTGGAAGTTTCAATTATCGCCACACTTTCTTTGAAATAGCAACAATAATCTTAAAAAGTCTTGCAAGTTTAAAAATTATGTGAATATAAATTATTAGTTATGTCATTTATATTCATGCATATTGCATTAGTGTATTTAAAAAAAAAAATAATCAAAGAGAAAGAGTGAGCATTTAAGGATGTAATAAGATGCTCAACTTTTGTTTGCTTCAAATAATTCAGGGGACAAAACAGGATTTTATCCTTGGTGCCATTTTTTGTTCATTAATTTGAGTACAATCGAAAATTCTGTTACATTTTATATGAAATTAGAAAAACTGAAATTTAGTTTTATTTTGAAACTTTCTAAAACTTTCAACAAAAAGTTGATTTTTCAATAAAAAAGGAGAGTATAGTTCCACCATTTTACATAAAAAAAGAGGAGAGTATACATATTTTATAAAAAGAGACAAAAGAGGACAAAAGTATTGACACATATTGATTGTGATTTTGTAAGTCATGCAAAATTGCAATGAATTTCGTATTAAAAATATAAAGTATTCTAATAATTTATTGTCAGCGTATTTCTTTCTTTCGTTCACGAAGAAAAGAAAAAAACTTTTTTTGGTTAATTTTTTACTATTACTATAGTTAAGGTACTAATTTGGCTAAAAAAGACTCGTTAAAATTGCAAAAAAAAATCTTTATAATCATTTTGTTTTTGTAGAAGTAGAAGTCCATTAGTAATTGTTCGGTCTCTTAATTGTTGGGTCATTTGTATCAACAATTAAATATATTTGAGAAGTTTAGAACAATAATTTAACTCAGAGTGAAAGTTGAAAAAAAATTTTTTTTTTAATGCAGAATAATTTGATTTACTACAATTAGGAACTCATCAATATTATGTAAAACTAGAAGTAGTTTGGAACACACTAAAGAAGAAGTGAAGTAGAAATGGTGCATTCCACGAAACCTTTTACGGGTGGGGTAAAACCTGTTAAACACCACCACAAAAAAAAAAAA